CTTCTGTCACCCTTTTTTCCCCTGTCCTCTCCCCTTCTTCTGCTTCACTTATCTTCCTTTTTCCCTGTTTCACTTCTCCCTTCCCGCCCCTCCCCTGTCTGCCATCCATCCCCATTCCTCCCCTTATCTTCATTCTTTTTCCTGCCCCCCTACCCCCCCATCCGACCCCCTCCCAGCAACCCTGCCTTCCCCTTTCCTTCCCCCTTCTTCTGCTTCACTTCATCATCTTCCTTCTCTCCTTGCTTCAGGTCTCCCTTGCCTTCTCCTTCCCCCCCCCCCCCCCTTGTCCCCCCCCCGCCATCCGTCCCCTTTCCTACCCCCTATTTACCAGTCCACCCCGTACCAAAAATCGTATCTGCCTTGAGTAGGTTCCCTACCCACTTTTATGATGGTGGAGGATGCTCTCGTGGATCACGTTTGTGATTATTGAAGCACAGCAGCATGGCTTTCTGGCTGGGAAGGTTGAGGGACTGGATACAATTTTTGAAGTGCCGAGTGTTTGGATTGCTTTGATTGCCCTGGTCGATACATGCCGTGACACTCATCCACCGGTGTTCCCCTGAGCTTCAGTGGGTGAGGGGTGGGGAAGAAGAACAGTGAAGAGGCGGAAATCAGGGGATAGGACAGTTGCAAAGAACATAATGACGTCAGGTAAAAATGCATTGGAACGGTTAGAGAAAATTGTAGACGAAAGAATCTGCGAATTAAAGACTGCGACACTTCTTCACACAGGTCTTGATGCACGAGACACGAATCGACACAAAATGAGGACACTTCAGAAGTCGTTTGAAAATTCAAAGTCGTATGCAAGGCTCCAGATAGGAGATGCGAATCAACAGAATATCACAATTTCCGAAAAGTAAAAAATGAAACAAGTCTCATGTGTGTACACCGGTGGCTGTGGCCTCCACGGACCACCACAAGGTAACTCTCTCTCTCTCTCTCATGTCCTTTCTACCTTGAGGCCTCTCTCTTCCTCTCTTAATGTCTTCCTCGGAATCCTAGCTTCTCTGTCTCTGTCTCTCAAGCTCCACAACTATGGGTGTCGGGTGCCGTTGATTCCCTCCTAGACTGCTGCTGGGCTTTTCTGCTTTGCTGCAGTTCCCAGTCTTTGACTTCTTGGGCTGGTACCATGACTTGCCAGCCGTGGCTGGTCTTTGGCGCTTCGGGAAGTTACGTACTTTCCTGGCAGTGACTGCGGTTTTGTACTTTGACTGACAGGTGACGTCTGACCGGGCCTATGGCCTATGGCCTTTCGGTCTATCGGACCTAGTGGCCTTCTGGCACCGACGAATTTGCAAGTCCTACCAAACCACCTGTACAGTCTCTGGCCACAGCTGTGGACTAAGGTACATAGGACCCAGAGAATCTGGAACCGGAATTGTGCCTTAGATCCTGAGACGGGTGAAATCGTCTCGGATTGGCAATTTGGCAAATGAAGTGGGCAATGAGTGAGGGCAAATGATGAAAGGAAGTGGGTATTATTATTATAACGTTACAAAATGGAAAAAGCAGGAAGAGACAAATATGCATGGAATTGGAGTAAGCGAACTGTCAGAAACGGCAAGATGTACAGATTTGCTCTTGTGGGCTTGTGTGTGTGTGTGTGTGTGTTCTCGGAGTGGTGGAGAGGGGGGATGTGGGGGAATGGAATAAGTGTAAGGACTCGTGTGGTAGGAGGAAGGATTTTGTGCAAGTTTTACAGAGTTCTGCCCTGCCTTCTTGGTTGGTTGTTGCCCTTTCTTATTGAGGTTGCCGCTGTGTTGTGCGAGCCTTTGTGATAATGTGGGTGATTTTGTGCATGTGTTGGTCTTTGTTGTGTAGACTGTGGACGAATGCAAGGTAATTACGTGCTTCATGCAGGCTGCAAAGAAGCAGAAGACATAGTTGAGGCCAGAGAAGCTGGGGCTCTACATGTTCTTGTGGCTGCTGGGAAACTCAATTCACAGGCTGAGCAGTTTGCATATGTGAAAGAATCGTTGTCAGGGACGGTTGATGTGCGCGGGTACATTTCTTATCCGTTTTGAATCTTTTTCTCCCTGCCAGTCCCTGGTCATTCTTCCATGAAGTGTGCAGGCAGGTCGTTTGCCTTTCTTATTCATCAATAATAGGGAATGCTATTATTGATGCTTCTGGAAAGAAGAATGGCAGGAAGAGAATGCAAGCTTATTGGGTAGAGTTCGACGAGGCCTGTTGTGAGTGCTGGTATCTTTTTCCAATTCATCGATTGTCATTGGCCAGGAGGGAGGCTGATGGCTTTGGAGAGGATGATGCCATTGCGATGCTTATGGTCACAAAACCGAGTGCGGGTAATGGTGGCCGGCAGCCTTCGCGTGCCTGCAAATCTGCAAACCCATAACAGTAGTTTGCGTGGGAGCTCTGGTAATCGAATATTTGCTGCCATATTGCCCCCCCAAAAAGTGAGGCATGGGGTGGAATTTGTGTGCCGTGCAACGTAGGATTGACATGAAGTTGAGACTGTATACCATCATCATCCCAAGATGGAATGTCTAGCGGCGTGTAGTTGTCAAGGGGCGCAGCCGCACATGTATCAACACATGTTGACTTGGTTCCTTCCTGCTTGGTTTCTCCTCCGACGCAGTTGTTATTTTGCTTGCATTGGATATTTGGAGGTTCCAGTGTATACAGCCAGCCAGATTGTGTCTTTTCTTTGATGCTATTCAAAGAAAGTACTACTCATGCAACTTACTTCTGACCATGGGGAGGGACAGGCTTGTCTTCAGGCGGGCAAAGGGTGGATGTGCATGGCACTCTCTCGTCAGTTATTCTACCACTTTCTATGACCGGGAGCCAAATATAAGATGTCGGCTACATGCTCCCGAAGCTTTCCAGCCCAAGATGGTGGCAGCACAACGATCGATGATCATCCTACGTGGCTGCTCTCTCTCCGCTATCTCAGCTATGGATACAAAGAGGCCCGATCTGCAGATTCGCGACTGCTGTGGCATTAGCGGAAGCAGCGGTGGGTGGGTTGGTGAGAAAAAGGGATGACAACCGTGACTCACCCTCGAATGGAGGAGGTTAACAATGCATTTGCCAAAATTTGGGCATCCAATTGGACGGAAGATATGCGGCTGGAAAATGATAACGTCCCTGCACGGTCAGAGTCAGGAAGATAGATTTCCACCACCTTCCTCAACTGGGAGCAAGATATAGGTGTGGACGTATGTGCGCCCCAGGCCTCCAAGCCCAGGACGGTAGCAGGGCGGTGATGACCTTGCGCGGCTTTTTTTTGTTTGCCCTTTCAGCGGTGCGTGAAAAAAGGCCCTGGCTGTGAATTGGAGACTCCTGTGGTGTTATCTGCGCAGCAGCAGCTGGGTTGATAATGGAAGGGTATGGCGAGGAACACTGCCCTTGAGGAGGGGAAGGAGGGGGAGGAGGAGGAGGAGGAGGAGGAGGAGGTGAACAATGCGTTTTTCAAGGTATGGACAGGTGATGAATGGAAGATGGGGATCTGGAAATATGACCTCGTCCTGTATGGTAAGAGGAAGGAAGACAAAGACGTGTACAGGCAGGTCTGTCTGCAACAGACCTGTATGCAATGGCGGTGACAAAGTGAACACAATCATATGAGCGGCAGGATGTGTGGAAAGGAGCAACTTGTGTGGTTTCAACGTCTTAATGTCTGAAATGGAAACAGCTTTCATTGCTGACCACTGGCCTTGCGGGGCTGTGGCACGCATAATGCCTTGGGTGTCGTGCTGTCTTGGCAAGGTATATTTCTCACCCCTTGCGATTGGTGCTTGCGGTTATCAAGATGTTAACCTTGAAGAACAGCCGCCATCCATTGGTCTTCAGTTTGTGCATCCTCGCACAGTGCAGATGGCGATGCGGACAGGACGTGGCAGGACTCACAAGCGCACCAAATGGATATGGGTGCTTGCCCCTGTGGCCAAATGGGGAATACTCGCGCATGGACTACTGGTGCATGGCATGTCTGGAGTCACAGAGGCAGTATGGGGATTCACCACGGGCTTGGTTCCATGTTTTCCGGATGAAATGTGGGGCCTTGCCTATTGGCTACCGCAGCACGACACGTTTGTGGGCCTCCCATCAACAGTTGCAAGAATCCTGCGTTTTGCAGTTTGTCATCGTCGGAGCGACTGCCATGGGTTGGGTTGGTTCTCCAACAGTTTTTTTCGCGCAAGATAGGCGGACAGCACAAGGTAGAGAGAGGGGAATGCTGGGAGTGGACAGAACAACAGTCTGTAGTCCGACATGAATCGCTGCATCCTTTCAGTCAGCGAATGTCAACCCGCCCTTCTGAGCACACAACGTTTTGTTAACAAACCCTCCTATCACGCGTTGTCTGACGCTGAAGTGCCAAGCGGAGTGAGAGGGAGTGAAATGGAGAATAGATATGACAAGGTGACAGACAGCGTAGAGTATTCTGTTGGGGCAGAGGTATAGCACTTTGTGAACCAACCATCCTATCAGGTGTAGACTGACGCTGAAATGCTAAGCGGAGGGAGAGGGAGGGAAAAGGAGAACAGGCATGACAAGGTAAGTGACTGACAGACAGACAGCATGGACAGTTGATTTTGGGCCAGGACGTATAGTCACAATCTTTAGGATCAACCTGATGGTTGTGGTGCCGCTGGATGGTAATTCTGTCAACTTTATACGTAACGACTCTTGGTGAATGTTTTCTAGTCCCAATGCGGGTCGGTGTGGTTCTTGTGTCTTTTACGGGTTCAGATGGAGTGGATGGAGACAGCAGAGATGTTGCTCTCATAGTATGGACACATAAGTTGTCTATTTGCTTTTTCTCTCTGAGCCCTAGAGGGGGTGCGAATACCTGAAGATCGCAGACTGCGCGGGGAAGGACTTAGGAGGCTGATTGAGAGGGATACCGCAAAACCACGATTCGCGGAACTAGGACGTCCACTTTATCAACATGCAATTTGCTGACCACTGTTTTGGATTATTAAACCGGGTGGGGGGGGATGCTGTAGGACACTGTTCTGGTGATTTAGAGATTCAACAAGACTATGATTGGTTATCCGCTTCATCAATGCGCAGTTTGCTGACCTCTGTGTTGAACTACTCAGCGGGGGGAACACAACCAGTTGTGGTTGTTGCATAACCTGTTTGTTGGAGAGCCTGGTAGAAGGAGGCTGTGTTGTCGCGGTTTAGAGATACACAATAATATGATCATGATCATGACCTTCATCGATGTGCAGGGTGGGGACTCCTGTTTTGAGCTATTAAGTGGCGGGAGCACACCTGGTGGTGGTTGTCGAATAAGCTGTTTGTTGGAGAGGCTTGCTGCATTTGTTATTGGACTTTCCATGAATGTGCCTTGCCAATAAAACATCATTTGCTGGCAAAAGAGTGGTTAGTCGGCAGTGTGAGCACCATTGTGGAGAGAACTTTTATTATTTGTTGTTCTTTTACCTGGTGGGCCTGTGGTGAAAGGGACGGCGCTTTGGTCTAGTTGTTGCACAGATGCACACATTTTTTCAATAAAGCTCATCATGATTTGAGTTATGGTTTAGTTTGTGATGGGCTTTGCATTGAGGGCTTGGATGTAACTCTTGCACCATCGACAGTGAACCGGAACTGTTCTGTTGATCAAAGTGCTGAACGCACACCAGCTTCGAGTAAAATTGAGGCGGCATTGATGCATATGAAAGAGGCCCACCAGAGGGCTTGCAAGATGATGGTGGGAATACGGGTGGTGTAGCAATATCCACTCTTGCCCCTTGTTGGAGCACGTATCATGTTTAATGGGCGCGACCAGTCCTGGGCCTGACAAAATGATGTTTGCAAGGCTTACTTCTTTCCTCGTGCTCTCTAGGATGGATGTGAACTTCTGGGTTTTGTACGGAGAGGCATTCAACATTGTGTGCCTGCCGAGAGAGAGAGAGAGAGAGAGAGAGAGAGAGAGAGAGAGAGAGAGAGAGAGAGAGAGAGAGAGAGAGGTTTGATCAGGCAATTTGTACTGGGTTACCATGAGTGTCTGGAAATGGATTCAATGGATTCAATGCAGGGCTGCACCGGCCGGTTGGACGGGACCAGACCCAATCGGGCCGGTGTGGTGGTCCAACCCGAAACCCGGTTGGGCCCAAAACCGGGTCAATTTTTGTACATATATATTTTTTGATTATCGGGGACTGTGCTTGTTGAGATCTCCCCGAATCCGCAGAGAAAACAGTAATCTGCTTTTTTTTCATGGGGTTGGGTTGAGGGGGGGTTGCATTTCAGGGGTGGGGGGTGGGGCAGTGGGGTAGTTGCAGCGTACTCTCTCTCTCTCTCTCTCTCTCTCTCTCTCTCTCTCTCTCTCTCTCTGATTTCCACGCCCCCACAGGTTTCCGTGTGAACACTTACTCCTGCGCGTCAACTTACTTTCACGTGCCCACTACCCTGCGCAAATTTGGGCGCTGCCAGAAGAAGAAGAACAACAAGATAGTAAGAAGAGAAGAAACAGAGAAACAAGAAGAAGACCTACTCTTACCGAGGGACGGTGGGACGGGGTGGGGCGGGGCTTATGGCGATTCTGAGGACGGGGTGGACGTGGGGGGGCGACGCAGTCTCCAAAGCAGCGGCCTCGTTCACTTCGGACAAAGTGACGGGTTGTGCTGCTCAAAAGCAGCGGGAGGCTGGGGAACGTTAGGATTTGGGTGGTTTGCCGCCCGAATGTTAAAAAAAACGGATGGGCTATCGGGGCTGCAGACGGCCAGTTTTTCAATATTCTGGTGGGCCTACTGGACCCTGTTAATTTTGTTTTGGGGCTGGGAGGCCTCCACGACCTGCATGGAGGCCTCCCGGCCCCCAAAAAAATTGACCCCCCCGCGCGATCGAAATGCGCAAAGGGGAACCAGGAGGGAACTGGCGCAGTCCACCGGCCTGTACGACTGGCCCGGGTTGGACCGGGTATTCAGCCTTGATTCAATGCGGATACTGCATTTGAATTTTTCAACGCGAGTTGACAACGCTGTAAACTGGGGTTGAACCGCCAGTTCATCGTGGTTCACCGCGACCTGCGAAGATTTTTTTTGTGGGCTTCAACTGAGCAAAACAAAAAAACAAAAAAATAGAGGGTTGTAGTCTGTGTTATGAACGGGGTCGACCGGATCCCCTTCTTTGCCTGGGTTGCCCGGCCACGCAAGGACCAGAGAACAGCCATGTAAGAAAGATAATTTAAAAAAAAAAATCCAAAAAATGTAAAAATCCGAAAACAAAAGTAGGTTGTGAAGAAATATAAACTGAACAACGTTTGTTATCAAAAAAAGAAAGGGAACAACTTCTGCGTCAGAGTTGGACCGACATTCTTTGTGAACTTTTTTTTTACTTTTTTTTTTTTTGAACTTCCTTTTAGGAAAATCTGCTGGAGCAATCTCAGGTTTTAGTTCTCTTAATTGTTTCCTTAACAGCTTATAGTGGTACCGCAGACGCTAGGTGTAAAACACTCGATTTCCCTAAAACGTTTTGGACCTCCTATCGTTGGCATGGTAGCTTTGGTGAGTAAGAAAAGACGATTATTACAGAAGACGCCCCTTTTGAGCCTGGCCAGTGATGCCGTGCTCGATTGGGTGGCCCATCCGCTTTTTGCATGGGACGCCAGGCCCATTTCCCGGCTTATGTAAATGTGCAAGAAGAGAGGGAAAAAAAAAAAAAACGGTGTGAAGTAAAAATAAAAAATGAAATTAAAATAAGAAGAATTTGCAAAATACCCTCATAAGTTGAGATATATGCCAAAATGCCCCTGAAAGATATGGGTAGAGTGGAAAGCACTTTTGGGCCGAAATCTTTGTGTTGCACCTCTGTCAGTTGGGTGTGCAACTTCGCATTCTGGACCTCTCCGATTGGGTCTTGGCCTTTTGCAATAGCACCTAGGAGAAATTGACAAGCACAAGGGGCATTTTGCAAAGTTGGACGGTACCCGGTAGGGGTATATTGCAAAGATGGACATCCAACCGACGCCAGCAGTATTGCAAAGATGGACCCACAATTCTACCCGGAAAAAAAGGTATTGACAGCATCGGCCAGGTTAGCTTAAGCTACAGTGAGAGGAGCATAATACTAGGAACAGGTCCGTCCCAAACAGGCCTCTGTCTTGACAACCTCTCCCATGTGCATTAAACAAGTCTGCCTTCAAGGCCCTGAAAACCAAACAATCCAAGACCGAAAATGACCAATTCAAGCATCAACTACCTAAAGAGAATCCTTATACTCAAAAACCCCTACCTCTTCCTTGCTTCCTATTTATCCGAATGCTCCTAAATCAGGGGGTTAGATTCCCCTACCCACCTAATGCGGCGGATTTCATCTCGACTCCTTCCACTCCTCTTTGTCCTTCTCCCTGTCTCCTGTGACCCAACAAGCACCCGCTGCCAACCTTTCCTGCCTCCACTCTTGCCAACTTTTTCCCTTTTCCCCACGTGTTCCAAACCATCTGTTTCCTGCTTCCTTGTTCTTTGCCTTGCTCACTTTCCTTCTCCAATCCGCCAGAATTGACCGTCTCAACAGTTGGGTGAACGTAGATTTTCTTTGTATACTTTTAGAAAACAAAAACTTGAAAATAAAAACAAAGAAAATAACAGAAAAAGATTGTGACATGGGTGATTTTCCTTCCCCCCCATACCATTTGGATGCAGGGTGTGTTGCCTCACATCCCTGTGCACACGCATACACATGTGCACACACACACACACACACACACACACAAACACACACTCACATACGTGTGCGCGAACGCGCATGTATGTGTGTCTGGGCGCACACATGCTTAGAGGCACAGCACACACAGACACATGCACACACATGCGGTGAGGGGGAGTTTAAGGTGGG